CTTCACGTGGCTCATAGAACCATAATTCAAAGTCTAGTATGGACAAACTTCTCACAGCATGTTCCCAAGATCTGACAGTATCCATAAACAAATCATCTCATCTTCCACCCACAGGCAGGGAGTTTTTATTGTTGATATACAGACATATGTCCTATCTGCCTGGAGAGAAGCTACGGCTATAACGCCTATAGCTAGCTGCAAGGGATCATCCCCACTGGGCTTCAGAATGAGATACAGCGTATCAGCAATGTATACTTGGAATGTGATGCTGTTACTGTCAGCTAATATGCAGGTGTAGACAAAAGTACAGTTCCACTTGCCTGACATGTACCATGGTTCATTCGAAATGACATTTGAACGTATAGTTTCGGAAAGACTAACTGAAACCTCCCATGATAAATCTTGTGTAGCTTTCTTGTTCAGATAATGTCATGTGCTCCAGTGCAGTTAACACAGTGAAATAGGTTTAGAAATGGTGCCTCACCATGCCAAGTCTTGCCTATAATGTCACATACAAGGTCGGATGCACACTGCTGTATGTCCAAATTTTTGATAACAGAAGCATAACAAAGAGTGTAGCCAGACATTTTTGAAGGAAGTCAGTTTAAAACTTTAATTTTACAAAGAACAATGCGCTGGTTACTCAGCCTGGTGGGAATTTCCATTGGAGGTGCTTTTGATTCCCACCACCCCACGCCATAAATTGTTGGCGTCACTAACAGTCAATTCCTTGTCAAGAGCAGTCACATTTCAGTGTCGCTGTCTATTACTAAAGATTTCAATAAAGTTTTATAAGTAGTTTTTCCAAAACTGTGTCATGTTGAATGCATCCCAGTATCCCTTGAGAAGATCTGATTCTGCTGACCGAAAGCTAGCTGATAAGATTAGTGGAGGTGTTCGGGCGTATGAGATACAGACCAATTATCTCATCATTAAAAAAAATCTGATTATATGCTGTACCCTACTTTTATAGAGGATGCAAATTATGAAAAAAAAGTTAAGCTTATATTCATGTAAATATGAGAGACTATCAATGCTTGAATACAGTGAAACCTCTATCCATCGTTCCCCGAACTATTGTTTTCCCGGATGCATCGTCCGTTTCGTTCAGTCCAGATACATCCCATATAAAATAATGTTACATTTTCCTGCTTCTATCGTTCCTCGAACTATCGTTTTATCGCATCAATCGTTCAAAAATCTTAGTCCTGGCCCACAATTTTCCCGCAATGATCGTTTCTGAGAAATTATAACAAAATTTAGGCGATGTTTTTAGAATTTAAAATGCTGGGTTTTGAGATAAATTAATACTGAAAGACACACAATGTTATTGGAATACACAGTAGCGGTAACCTGTTATGTCGCCCAACCAGCACATTCTTTTGGAATGAGGGTCAGCGGTGCAGGGGTGATAGTTGGAGTGAATGGCGGTGCTCATTGTCAGAAATTTTACGATTTTAATTAGGGTGCACTCATATTTCGTTCCAGCGATGCCAGATGGCATGTGCAGTGTGAATTTCTTCACAAATGCTTTTATTATAAGTACAAAGGAAAGGCGGGCGACACTTTTCATTCTTCTGGTTCATCTTGTGTCTTCTACAGCTACGTTTCGTTGAGTTCGGCAGTAATAGCATTTCCATTCTTCCTGTTATTGTTCGCGAAGGGGGTGGGAGTGGTGAGGAAGAGGAAGACGACGACGAATGCGAGCCCGAAGCTGTGCCAAGTTTTGCTGAAGCATATGCTGCATTGGCAAAAGTGAAGTCGTTCTTTTATGTGCATAATATTAGTGAATGTGACGAGGAAAACATTTTGAACATGTAAAGGGCTCTGTTTGGCCTAAAACGTAAAGTTTCGAAAAACCAGTTGTCCATTAAAGACTTCTTTGGTAAAAAGAAGTAACTTTGAAAGAGAAGCATTCAGCTTTTTTAAAAATTTTAATGTTTTCCCGTATTCATCGTTTTTATTTCCCACCCCCGCCAAAAACGATGCATCGAGGTTTCACTGTAGTTACAATGGTTCATAAAATTATGAAATTCACTGTCATAGGGGACAAATACAAGTTACTTGTACTTTGAAACTGCCTTCTTCATCCTGGCATTACATCTCACATTCAGCCCTCCACATGTTAGCCTCCAATGTCAAATATTTCCTCTCTGAATGTCTCTGGCAATACATCACTGCTTTTTTCTCTCTCTTTTTGGACTACTTCATGTTTTTTAAAAAGTATTAATAAATCTTAAAACCTTGAACATTAACTACCTTTTGTGAAGGATGGATCTTCATTCATTTCCAGGTAAAAGGGGAGAGACATTTGGTTGGATCCAGTACGTAGGTAAGGCCGAGGGCCTACTTGACACTGTAATTATTTTTGATAAATCTATTTCTGAGGGCCACACATATTTAAAAATCAAAATTTGCAGAGAATACAAGCTGAAACTATGCATTCTTGTATGGATTACACATTTCCAGTCTTGCTGAATGCTAAAGCAGGTGGTACATATATTGAGCATTAAAATGTTAATCACTATTTGTTACTTACTTGAATAGTACAGCAAATGTCTTCCCTTCCTTTGAGAAATATTTGTCCAATAAGTTATCGGCTGTCTGACGTATATCCTCCAAATAAGCCTAAAATAATAAATTAACATTAGTTTAATGAAATTAACCTGATCAGTTCTAGGTGTAACAAATATAATTAAAATTAGTTAACAAACATGTTTATTATAAAAAGGATAGAACATGTCTTATGAAGATTACTTTTAAAATAAGTCAGAGAAACACACATTGTACAAGTTTTCTCGCTTGCTTGCATGTCAGGCAAAATCTCCTTTTTATGTCATTTTCTTCCCCAGAGAAATATATGGAAATTATAGTTTGTCATATTCAACAGGTGGCCAGACTCTTTTCTTATTTAATAACTTTTGAACAATATGACCTAAAGCTATAAGGAACATCATACAGAACAGAACATAAGGAACAGAAATGAGCTAACAGTTTCTCAGCCCATCACAAGATCCTATCTTGATCCAGCTGCATACAGTCTACAATCGTGAGATTAAAATTTACACCTGTTACCTAAATAAAGTTGTGAACTTGTTGAATGCATACCTTACATGTAGCCTCTATTGGCAATAAGCGCAGCAAGAAGCGTGTTTTTTGTTTCTTTGTAGACTCCAGATCTTTCATAATGTAATGGGCCAGCTGAACAGGTTCTGGCACCTGTAATGGAATATGTATGGAAAACAGAAATGAGAAACTGATGCTCTCCATATAGCAGAGTAGTTCTTGAGTAGCTAACAGTTCCTCAGGACCCAAGAAATTCCCTGCCTTTTACATAAACCAAACATTCCCTACTGCCAACACAAGAGTCATTCACTGGCCCTTATCCTGAGCCAGATGAATCCAGTCCACACTCTTCCACTGTATTTAATTAATCTTTCATTTCCTCTTCTTCCCACATTCCAACTTTAACTGGGTTGTCTGACAACCAAGCATCTCCATTTAGGTCTATCTTCTCACAAATCCTCTTCCTCAATTTCTTCCTATCATTTCTAACCTTTTGTTCTGTATCAATCATCAACTGTGAAACCTGAACAATCACAACAGCCCACCAATGGTCTGTACCTTGAACCAGATAAATTAATTCCACACTTTCCCACCCAATTTATTTAAGGCCTGGTCTCAACTTGTCAAGTTATCTTACCAAAATTCTATACCAACTTCTTATCTCTCCCATGTGTGCTATATGGCCTGCCCATCTAATACTCCCTGATTTGATCATCCTAATAACATCTGGTAAAGGGTCAAATTATAAGTTTATCCTACAATTTTCTAAACTTCTCTGTAATTTCTTCCTTCTTAGGTTATAATTAAAAAAATGTTTCACAAAATGTTGCAACACATCAAATGGTCATGTGACAGGAATTGTTGGTACAATAGAGATGTAGACAATGATCAGACCATAAATGATGAAACTATATGAAGATGAAAAACAAAATATCTGCCTGAATATGCCTCTTTGCACATATAATAGCAGAAAATTAAAGTTAAAAAGGGCTTTTAATCTTTACATATTTTCAAGATCAAGGCATGGCATTTTTGAATGCCAAATGATTTCATGGAAGAAACAATAACAGTAAATTCTGGCAAAAACTGAACTTGCCAACAGTGGAGAAACCTAAAATAAGAGAGACCATTTGGGAAACCAAGGCTATGGGAGAAAGGATAATATTACAATGTACCTTGGAGAATAAAGTTGTGATGAATTAACTAGACTGAACTAACAGTCTCAGGATAAGTCCTAGTGATGACATTTTCTAGATAACAGTAATGAACCTTCAGGTTCCATAAGAGGGCAAGCTGACTCATTATCACCTCAAGAGAGGCCCTGCTGCAATTTGGAGTTACATGATGAAACTTCTTCCTTGTGTATTTATGTCTTTAGTTTATTTAATGGTGCTCTTTCAAAATCTAAGATTATTATTACAAATGATAGGATAATTATCTAAAAATAAATCTGAAATTATGTGGAAGGAAGCAGTTGTAGCCTAAACTTAAGGCCCTATCCTGGAATTCCAACTGGGGGTACTGAGAAAAACCACAAAGAACCTCAAGTTAGTACATCGGGTCTCTGAGTCAAGATAAGAAACTGAATCCTTCTGAACATGAAACAAAATTCCAACACCCAGCTACATAGTTCAGTCTGCCAAGCATTTTTAAGTGTCCAGCAGCTGTAAGTAGAACTGGCATATTCCTAGCTTAAGCACAAATTTCAAGAAAAACAGAAATAGTCTCTTTTAAAATATTTTCTTGTGTTGATTTACAATAGAACAGAAGACAAGAAGTTGTTTGAAGGTTTTCAGGCATTTAGAATTTAAAATGACTATATATGAGAATATGATTATTTACTGTAGTTTGGATGAATATGCAATTGTTTGCTCCTGAATCGACGGCTTGAAATCGGCATTTGCTTGGAACTTTCTTCCTCTCAGCTTTAAGTGAATCTAATTCCTTACTCAATGCAGTCTCAATGTCTTCATCTTCAGATTCATCTTTTGCAGTACCTCGAACTGCAGAAGTACCAGCAGAAGTCTCCTGTAAAGTTTAAAAACATAGTACACATACACATTTTTATTACATTCCATGGATTCATAAGATAGTCAGATGCCAATATGATGTGGAAAAAGTCATAATAACAATACAATACATATTATAAAGTACAATTCATACTATTATATAAATTTCACATAATACAAAATTGCTAACCATAGCCTATCTAAACATGGATTTGACCATACCCATTCTAGTAACATAATCTGGAAAAGAAATTAGATGTAATGTAACAACAACAGTAATAATTAACTCAACATCTAACCTTCTCTTCGCCATATAGACAGTCGGCATATTCGTTGAGAATGTTGTAGGATTCTCTGATGCAATCTTTTTCTCTGCTGTTGCAAGTGCAGAGGAAACCTTTAAGTCCAGGCTTCAATACGAATTCCCTTTTCTTTTTAGCTTTCTGTGACGTGTAAAAATTAGGCTTCTTTCTTTTCTGGTAAGAATTCATCCTGCAACGCAACACAATAATGTCCACCTAATTAACATTTGAAAATACTTCGCGTCCACCAATCAAATGTCAAATCTCGATCACTTTTTATGGTCGATAATTGTTAAATTAACATATTCACAAACATCTGCATGAAATGAAATATTTGAAAATCTAACTCAATATAGTTTTTTTAGACACACATAAATTATACAAGTCTTCTCTTTCGTGTCCAACTGACAGATGTACTGAAGCTATTGTCAGACTCATCACGCTGTCGTCGAGGATTTTCAATAAAAAAGTTTTGAAATAAGTAAAAAGGTAAAAATCAGTGTCATCTATATATTTCCTAACGCAAATATCATATACTATGTTCGGATTCGGTAGTTCAACCGGTAACAAAGTTCTTAACCTATATAGGAATCTTGTCTGAAATTGAGATTCTCACAGCGGTGAAGTGGCCAGGTTGATGGATACCAACATTTCGTAGGAACATACTGCTTCCACCTACAAATTTATTCTCGAAGATGGGGTCTGCATGTTCCTACGAAACATTAGTTCCATTTTACCCTCAATATCATTCCACACATGCTCCATCCTTACTCATGTATCATCTGAGGGATGGACAATGTACCTCTTTAATGGTCCAATTCCACAGAGAGACAGTCTCACCCCACTGCAACAATGACAATGGCAACAACCACCTGCTGAATAAGAACAAGTGTGTGCGATTAGCTACTGTTAATGGGGTCATGGAAAATGCGGACCTTCTAAGGAAGAAATAAGGAAAACCATTTCCACTAACCAACACTCTTAACAGGAACAATAACATCCAGGTTTACTTTGTACATATAAAATACAGGGAGCAAACTTCTGAGAATACAGTACATGAATTTCATAAGGGAACATATTTCAAAATGACAGTAAAACAAAAACTGTTTCATGGCTTAGCCATACAAATGCAATATAAACATAAAACCAATATCATCCATTACAAAATTCCACCATTATCACTAATACACTAAGACAATACTACAAATGCTAAGGAAAATAATTAGCTTCTTCACAACCAGCAAACTTACATAAACAGAAATCAATTAATGAATAATGCTGGACCTGGGCCAAAAATATTGTTTATAAGAATGAAAGCAACATACCTGTACCTCTCTGAACAGTGAAACTAAAATTGCAACACCACAGAACAGGTATAATTTATCTGTGGAATACGGACTTTAGCTTTACAGTTCACTTGACAGGTTCTTCCTCCTTTCTTCTGCCCATTCGCCAATATCTCATTTACAAAGTATTACGACACAATATATGTTTATTCTATGCCAAGGGTTTTCAACCTAAACAAACTTGGGTGCAAATTTGCCCTTCCTTAGTGACTTGCAAGCCACAAGATTACACACAAAGACAATTTACTGAAACATAATGGTAATACATTAAAAATGTGATTAATTAGGCCTACTATTGCAATCAAGTTCACATATCACTCAATAATTTTATTTAAGAAAATGAGTTATCAGTAAGATATTAAATAAAGCTTTTGCTTGAGTAATCTTTCAATATCAGGTTCAAGTTCTGTTCATTTACATTAGACCAACTAAATATAGCTATATCATAAAGATATATATTTACAAACACTTTTAAAACCCAACATAAAAAGAAATCATTCTCAAATTAAATTGTATAACAGTTGTTAATAATACATTAAAAATTAAATCCGAGGCGTAACAGCTCCAGAGCCAAAGCCGACTAGCCTGACTGCTGGCCTCACGTTCACATGCCTAAGCAGAGATGAACGATCATCCAACCAGATATAGGGTGACGTGTGGTCAGCACGACAAACCCCCAGCCATTGCTAGTTGTCCTGACCGGATTACGCTACTCATTGTAGCTCCCCAATTTCCTCACCATGCTGGGTTGGCACCGGTCCCATACACTGGTCGAAAGCTCATGAGAAAATTTCTTCTCCCCCAAGACTCGAACCAGCGTGCATTCCGTATCACCAGTCTGAAGCATGATGCCTCAGACCGCACGGCTACGGCGTGGGACTAATAATACATTAGACCATCTAAATATAACTATAAAGTAAAGTAAGTAAAGCTGTCACACTATATGCCATGTAGGCACTTGGGGGGAGAGGTGGTAGAGCTCCTACCCATTCTTAACCTCAGCACTACATGGGGTTGAGAGGTCAGTGTCACACCCTGGCCATGCTTTACCCCTGGGAAAGGACCTCAGTACCCATTGGATAGGAGGTTGGGTGAGCCCCAAAGCTGGACTGGACAGAGAGGCTAAAGAAAAAAATTCTCTGCCCCTGGTAGGGATCGAACCTCCGGTCATCTAGTCCATAGCCAGTTACTACACTGACTGAGCTACCCTGACACATCTAAATATAACTATATCATAAATAAATATATATGGATGCACTTTAAAGACTCCATATGTTTCAGCATATATCACCAATGATAATATAGAAATGTATTGGACAATATGAATCTAACAAATAATAATGAGAAAAAGATATCAATTACATTTATATATAAAGACAAATATGTCACAAGATTCAAAGGCACTAACATTAAAACAACATTCACATCAAATAACATCATTAACAAATTACTACAACATAAATTTGCAATCCCCAAAAATGGTACATGAATATATGAATTAAAATGTCTTGACTGCAACAAAGTATACATTGGACAAACAGATGGTAACTCTATAGGTGGATACAAAGAACATATTATATCAAAAATACACAAAATTCCAAATATGCAACCTATATAACTAAGACACTCATAGACACCAACATGAAACTATGACAAACACTGACTTTGCTAACAAAAGTTTGCAAGTTGAATATCAAAGAAAGCTGACATATTTATTACAAAAAGGGATAGACAGTTTCTTAACAAAAATATGATGAATGCAATTTATTGACATCTTCAAGGAAGTAGTAAGACATACTTATAACATCAGACTACAGCATAACAGTAAACATTTATATCGAGACAGCAAGTGCCCAACCACAAGGAGACACACATCCTTCTCCATTTCGTGTCCAAGCTACAGGTAAATTAAAACAATATTCTACGCCCATTATTCATATTATATATTAAATATCATAATAAGACTTCTCAAGAATTTTAATTTGGCCATAGCCAATACACAATGTATTAATTTACATATAACTCAAAATATGGATTTTCATACTACATTTTAATGACATATCACCACAACTATTTTATTATAAACATGAAATGAACTTTTATTTTGGTTATTTCATTACTTTAATATGTGTACTGTTAATCTTGTACTCATCAGGCAACCATAGTAGGAGCTGTTACGTACTGTAGTTACAGAATGTGTTAACCCCTGATGATGGCTAATATAAGCTGAAACAATGGTTTTTAAGTATACACCTTCACGATACAATTATACATTTAGATGGTCCAATGTGAATAAGTGGAATGAACATAACCGTAGGACATCCCTCCAAGTGTCCATCAGTAACATGCATCCTAGCTCTCGACATAACCTTTATTTCTCCAAACAGATGCTTGTAGTAATAGGTACTGCCAAACAGTGATGATATTAAAAAGTGTTTTTTCTGATATTAGGCAAGTGAAGGAGCACTATAAACTGTACTATGATGTTCAGTATAATGAAAACTGATGCATACTGAAAACTGAACTAATTTTAAAGCAATGTAATAGCCTTTGCCTAACATAATGAGAAAGACTGAATCAGTATAAATGCACTTGCATTTTGTACACTGACCATCCACACAAACGTCAAATGTGTCTGAAGATGGAACCTGGTAATAGTAATAGTAATGACAATTTTCTAAGAAAGCATGAAAGTATACAAGGAAATAATCAAGAATTCTGTTGAGAGTTTTTACAGAAGTATATATAATGTATATTGTTGCTTCCATCATACACACAAATTCATTTTATCTGTCACAACTCATAGAGTATAAACATTATATATATTTCAGGAAAGATATACTGAAAGCCTGTTTTTCTAGGTCTGGTTTGATTACAATACTCCACTAATTACACAAAATTCACACAAATTTTTTTTAGTTTTTAAGATACTTTTTGGTGATTCAGCAAGACTTTGAATACAAAGTTTGCTATCTTCTCATATGCTGCAAACATCAATGCTGCTGTCAGGATAGTTTGCAAGAGTTTAGCTTCCATTCCTTTGTACAAGCCGATAATACCATACTTCCTGCAACAAGTAAATTAATTATTCTAGGGTCAGTCAACAGTGGGTCCTAAGGCAATCTGTCAGGTTATGTTCCTCACTTCAAAAGTAGACTGTAAAAACAATATTTTCTATCATGCCTCATATAATTTATGTGAAATGAAAATTCACACTAGGTCAAAATGTAACTGGATGTAAATTAAATTTTGCAAGAACATAACAGAAAGATTAAAAACTGGTATACCCTTGTGTATGCTGTAAGGAACATTAACTCTGTGTCTTCAGCAATGCTCTTTTAGGAGCGGTTCTCGAACAACAAACGATTTGTTTTAGGCTGACTTACTTGAGAATGTAGACTGTCAGTTTAATTGTGCCAGCATTCTGAGGAAGATCCTGATAGTTGTGTCCATGCTGAAAGTAAATATATGTTTAAACTGTGAACACACTGTAATAAAGTCAAATATTCGGATGAACTAACAACAAATTAATAATCCCCAGACACTTTTAATTTGCACAACTGTTACTTAATGACTGCTACATTAACATTTTTGGTACTAGGGTCCAATACAGATCAGGACCTTGTCTACTATACTCATCATGTCTCAAGACAAGCGGTCAGATTTCTTGGGTGGAAAATCAGTCCATTGTTAAGGACTATACTTATGGGGGAAAAAAACAGACAGACACACCGGTCAGCCCAGAATACAAATGGCCCACAACCGTGCTCATCAATATTCAACCAGGATGTTTTAATTCAATTTTAATCTTTTCTTTGTTTCTCAAATTGAAAAGTGTGAGTTTATTCGAGGAAAATGCTTTAACATTGGTTTTCCTTGCATTTTGTCAGAAGCAAAAACACGTTTCCATGTAATTCAGGTTTTATTGCACTTTATCAAGACAGGGATATTGTTGAAAGGAACAACTGCAGAAGAGGTCACAGTGGATGAATTTTGACATACAACTTTAATATTCCACTTTCTGAACAACGCTGGCAAAAATAAGTGCAGTACTTCTGCATGCCACATTTTACATGGATAGCTTATATAAAACAGTGATTAAACAAATTACAGTTTTTAGAACTAATTTCATATGAAGTGACAGGTGTATATTTTAATTCTATAACCAAGTACCAGCCTGAGAAAATGCCAAAAGAAACTAAATCCACTGAATCCCAAATAAGAACTGGATATGCTATACGTTGAGATATTTTACTGGACAGTGTTTACTGTTGTGCTGGTTTACTGGCATTTCAAAGTGTTAGTGTGTGACGGTGCCTGGCGCTGTGGCCTAATTTATGCAACCAGGTAATATCTGTGACCATCTGGCAGTAGTAATGATAGGAACTGGCATTTTAAATGGGAGCACCAGCAGAGAAAATTTGTATTATGTACTCAATGGCACAACAGAATTTTGAAGATGAGAATTAAGGCTTGCAGAGGTGACCTACAGGCTTAATGTGGGATCTAAACTACCTCTCACCTTCAAATACTTGCCTTATCAATGGTGAGGCAAGGAGAAAATTACAGTAAAATCCACACTGGAACCAACCAGTCTCAAAAGGCCAGCTCCATATGCCATACATCACCAAGCTCCGTTGGTAATGATGATTTGTATATTTATAACTGAACCCACTGTAGATATCAAAACATCATAAGGGACAACACTCACGATTCTTACCCTTAGTTTGGTTTGGACTAGCTGCAGAGGATAGGTTATTATGGTGGCTACAGCTTTAGCCACTGCTCCCACAAAGAAATAAATCAGCGCAGACAGAGTCTGGTCACCATGCAGGGCCTGTAACCTTCTTTTAATTGCTTCATAGGTCATGAACTGTATAGCTGGATTTGACACCAGCATGAGAGATGGCAATGTACCATTCCACAGGCTGGCTACACCCTCTTGCTGCCCCATCTTCTTAAGGCCATCTGCACAAACACAAGTCAAGATGTCATTCTTTGTGAAAATAACTACCTAAGCCCATTAAGAATAGTCCTTCTTGAGCAACTGATTCAACTGGTAAAGATATTCCTTCCCTTTCTGGAACCTGAAGGCTCACCACAAAGTTCACAAGCCTGCTAGTGGATCCTATTTTCAGCCACCTTAACCCAGTCCACACTCAAACTATATATTTTTAAGATCCATTTTACTACATATATCCCATCATCAAGATCCTGTATCTCCTACATGGTTTCTTCCCTTCCTATGTTTCTGACAAAAATTATGCATGCAATCTCCATATTAAATGGGTTTCTCATGATCACTGCATGGCACATCCTCAGGTTACAGATGAAGGAGGTCTCCATATATAAAAGGTTGTTGCAAATGAATTAAATAAACACTCAGAGACAACTGACAAGGGTGGTCCTCCTGCTTGGGAGTTAGATGGAGGCTAACACCTTACTGTAAGAAGCAAGCCTTTTATGAAATGCTACACAGAGCCACAGTGTTTGGGAACAGGGTGTTGATGAGAACATACAGACGTAAGAGGGATGAAGAGACAGGAGTTTGGAAAAAACTGCATGATGAGAAGCTTCAGTTGGAAGACCTTGGCACAAAAAAAGGAGTATAATATTAAAATGGACGTTAAAATAGTGTGGGAAGGTGAGAACTGCATTAATCTTGCTCAGGATAGGGACTGGTGGTTGGCTCTTGTAAACATGGTAATTATTCTTCAGATTCTATGAGTGCTTGGGGATTTCATGACTGAGACACTATTAGCTTCTCAAGGAGACTATATGGAGTCGATTACTTATTTACCCCATGTGTACAGAATGTCCCGACAACCAAATGTCATGGTCAAGTGGCTAGGCTAAAAATTATGTTCAGATTGTGGTCTTCTGGGTTGTGACAATGTGCAGTGTAAGTGATTACCAACATATTGGAAGAACCTGTTGCCTCTGAAATGCTGGTAACCACCTATAAGAGTATTATCTCCTATTTGAAGGAAATCAAATTGTTATGTCTGTTATAATAAAAAATCACCTCTCTAGTGCCAGGCATAGAGCTGTACCTTTATTTATTCCCCAGACATCTTCGTAGAGCATACATACTTAAAAGTGTTCTGATCCTCCCCCATAACTAAAACTAAACAATGACACATACCCAACAGGCCACTATACTGATCTGCCACATGCTCTGTTGATCCACGACCAGTTCTGGAGCCAAGTCCTTTCATCTTCAGGCGTGTATTCACAACCCAGAGAGGTGTGGTTGTCAACACATTCACGACACCTGCAAGAAAGACTGATAGATTCTTATGTTCTGTAACAATTGTTTAAACTGCAGAGTATACACTACGTCACATGAGGTGGGGAGTTGATCATAAAGGCTGTGTAAGAATTATTTTATATAAAATTTGTTTTGCTTTTTCATTATAATGATCATTATTCACATGGAGTCCAGTGACTTTATGTCAATAATTGAGGATTTTATTCCCCACCAGAAATATATGAACGTGAGTCCGATTCTCAACAGTTATGAAGCTGTGGACAGAAATTCTGAATTTTGTTCTGAATGACACAAAACATGATTACAGATGTACTTCCAGACTGACAGGGCACCCCAGACTTCAGACGGCATGTGATGGAGTACCTGAAAGCAATTTCTGACTGATAGACCAGGTGTGGTGGTCCACACAAATGGCAAATGCAGTCACTGGACCTCACTCCCTCTAGATTTTCACGTATGGGTTTACACAGAAAACATGGTGTAAGAATCAAAAATAAATAAAACAGAAGAACTACAACATGGAATTTTCAAAGTTGTAAGATGTGCAACTGGCCTTGATGTCCCACTTAAAATTTAAATCATCTTGAATTTCAAATAACTGTAGTAGCATAACCATTGAGAATTGCATATATTATCATATGACATTTCTGACTGGGAATGAGCTCAGAAAGAATATCTTGAAGCATCAACAAAGTCACCAGACAACCAGTATAATATTGATCTTCTATTGACCCAAATGAAATGGAAACAATTCTACAATAAGAGGTATTGAGTTTGGGATCATCAAGGGAGTAAAAAATATGAATTATGGTCTTCTGTGCTATGACACTCACTGTGTGGTCTTGTAGGTGTTTAACAACTTTTTGGAGAAACACACCACCTCTATCTTCACAGTAAATTTCACTGGAAACCAACTACAAGATTGCATGACTCTTCAAAATGGTGTATGACACTACCTTGCATGATAAAATTTAAAACATTTGTTTTCCAGTATTTTGACTTGACACTGAACACATTAAAGCTGGCACTTGTATGAGTAATGGAAAACAAACTGTTTACTGTTTTAAATGGAACTGTTCCATTATGCGGTAAAATATGCCACACATTATCAGTGAAGATGTTACAACTTATGTAAACTGCTGTAACACATTTTATTTTTCAAGAAATTCCACAGAAAAGAAAAAGCGAACTGCAAGAAATTGATGACTTCCGAGATACAGCTACTGAATAAAAAAGAAATAAACTGCCTGAGTGAAATATAATATTACATGCATGCCAAACTCAGTCCTAATGATTTCTGACTAATTTGGTATCATGATGTAAGGATTTTGTCTGGAGTTCAAATTATGCACACAGCCAACCTTTAAAAGGCTATAAACAGAATCTCAACTCAAGATAATAGAAAATGTCCATATATCACAGATGCTGAAATTAAATAAAAATGGTTTGGAAAGCCATGGTGTCACAGTCATGTAAAATTCCAGCATTTCAAAAGCTACTTCTGATTCAATCATGTGGACTGATGTTTTGATGCCAATAAACAAATGAAGAACTTACAGCCAATTGGTTAATTACCTATCATCAACACTGAAAGGATTAATTATTCATTATTTAGCCTGAAACATTAATATCCAAAGCTGTTCATCATTATCCTTACAGGGTTTCACCACTAACATATCAACCCACCAGCCAATGATGCCAAGAGAAGGTCCCTTCTAGCATTCTGATGAGCCGATGTTGCCCCGAGTGCCTTGAGTCCATGAAATGTGTAAAAGTACACAAAGTTGGAAGCACAGAGACTTTCCAGCACAGGTACCATACCCCGGTACAATGTGGTGCTGTGAACGAAAAGCACGATTCAAAGGTTAGATCATCTGACTGAGGTCTTCCTTTATGACGGATGGGCAGGTAATGCAATATGCGCAGGAGAAAATAATAAATGATTACAAAATTTCAGTTGGAAACCTGTATGTCAAGAGATCACTTAAGAGGCCTAAGTAATAAGCAGAAGTCACTCGTGTTTTAGCACTATATGATGGAGGAATGGGGGGGACATGGAAGTAGATTGATTTCAATACGAGGTAAATTCTTGATCAGATCAACTGCCGGGTATGATTGCATATGGAGCACAGTGATTACCTATCCAAGCATGGCATTCAGTCAGAGTTAACTCCTTTTTCTACCTTTTTGTGTTGCTTAGGTCCTGAGCACTCTCTCTCCTGTATGATACCTAAACATAAACCCATACAGAATTTCTGAAATGTTTGTGGTCATGAGTTCCTGACCTACTGCATACAAACATGGTGACACAAAGAAATAAGGCCAATGCAAGGCTGGGTCAAAATTTATGCTTATGAACTGTCACATTTTTTGAATAAATAACATGATGACAGTGATGAAATCCTGCCGGGCAACAAGCCATGTCAATTCAGAACAGAAGTCCATTTCAGACTCACTCACACTCTCTCTCTCTCTCGCGCGCACACACACATAAATTGCTGACCCCTTCATATGTGGTCAA